GTGCTTTGCATCGTGGCCTTAGCCTTGTTTTAAGAGATAATACTAAGTAATTCTTACAAGAGCCAGAGATCAGTAAAGAGGCAGTGCATACAACTACACGCTTTTCCAGAGAGACTTGCCAGCCAAGTAAATGTGTACAGAGTTGCTGCATCTTGATTAAAGAGTAAAAATGCTTGAATAAGGTTTCAAATGCTTTCCACTTTCAAGGTGGATTCTGGGAAATAAGAAATCATTAAAAAAAAAAAAACCAACACAGTAAAATAAAACAATCAGGGTTTTTTTTAAAACCAGAAGCATGTCATTTGAGGTCCCAGCATGACATTTGATGATGTCCTTTGGTTGGGGCAACAGCAACAAAAAAATCCAGAATGAAATAAAATGCTCTAAAAACGGTTTTGAGGCCCTAGCTTAAACAAGACACAGAAAATCTATCATTGTACAACAAGCCTAAAAAAGTCTAAAATGGTAGTATGAAAACAAGCAGCCCTGCTTATTCCATCAAACTTAATCGTTATGGGACAGCTGATATGTGACTCCCAAGAAACCACAAAAATCGTTTATTTGGGGTTTCTTAAAGCATGTTAAAACACAGATGGCAGTAATGATACTGCTGAGATTAAACCCTACTAGGTAGGTTTCAGAACATTCTCTGTAGGGCTATTTCTTTCCCTCTCATTTAGACTCCTTTATGCCTCTCACTCAACAATGTGTTGTGTGCCTCGTGTTTCCTTAACACTCATAGTATGATGAGTCTGAAACCCTACTCAAGCATTTTTATTTTTTAATCCAGCTGTAGCAACCGTATAGACATTTGCCTGTAAAGTCCCATCAGATTTGTTGAGTGGGCTAACAGGCATAAAGATAAGGATGAGAGAACTAAATCTGGATTAAGAATGAGGCAGCCATGAAAATGGCACATCGGTTAAAACAGATTATTTCAATCAAGTTTATTTATTTATTTATTTTATACCCTGCCCTATCCCCCAAAATAGGCTCAGGGCAGCTTACAACAAAAAAACATAAAACAATAAAACAACTGATGGCAGCAATAGATGATGACAAAAACCCATGCCTCATGTCAGGCAGGGAGAGTTACCCCAAGAAACTCCAGTATCCAAGTACTTTCCAGAACAGTAAGGACACTGGGAAAGGGGCCGTAAAGAGTTTATGTTTTGATGTTTTTGAAAGCACGGACACTGGAAAATACGCAGCATTGCAAGACTGGTTATTACAGCCCTTTTCAAACTGGCCCTATGTCATATAATATATATACCCCTTTGCTTGAATGCATACATTTATTGACTTGCTTCAGCGTCCTGCATTCTGTTCTGTATTTGGGTGTTACTAGTTTACAGAGCTCCCCAATACTAGAACTGACATACATGTGAATTGCCCAAAGTGTGTCAATAAACGTTTGCCTCTTATTTTTAACTCTCTGCTACCTCCCTCTCCCTTTTGAATGGCTTCTAACACTGCCCAGGACCATTACAGAAGAATTGTGTACCTGTGCTATTGACAGGCCCTCCACTGGTATTTAGGGCAACAATAGACTGATGTTCCTCTGCTACCTGAAAACAGGAGTGGCATTTAATGGCAACAATTCAATGCAAAAACATCACCCTTCCCCTTCCTACCTGCTACTGATCAAGGAATTAATTAATTCAGGCAGGGACTACCCCCAATCATGGCTACAAAGTAACCAACAACCACCCCCCTGTTCTGCAGGAAATTTTTTGCTGGAAAAACTGCTCTTTGCACGCCCTCGCATGGGATCGCCAGGTGCTGGGGAATCTGCTCCAAGCTAAGAAGGGGTCAGCTTCTTTCTTAAGGTCAGTTCTCTTGTTAGTCCGGTTTTCTCATTACAACAAAGAGCTCAACACACACTTGAATCATATGTCACCTCGGGAATCAATCAGTTCCTTTTTGCCAGCACTGTCTGCTCCTCTGCTCTCCAGCATTTCAGAGGGCTTCTCAGCCTATTTTCCTTCTCTGAACCTACTTCTTCCTGGCAGCTCTTCCTACTTAAGAAAAGCAACATAGTGCCAGCCAACATACAAACCCTCCCTGAAGGAATAAAAAAAAAAGGCTTTTATAAACTCCCTCAACAACTACTCTGTTAGGGAAATAAGTGGGACAACTTCCACTGCTAGATCAATGGAATTTGACAGCAGAAAGTAAAGCTGACAATTCCTGCCTTTTAAAGATGCTCCTATGCCTTTAAGGAGTGTCAAATGTTTGCAAGGTGCCTTTTCTCATCTCATCCTAGGTGCTCCCTCGAGATAAGTGGCATGAGGTATGTGCCAATCATCTCCCTGACAGGCAGGTACCACAGAGACCAACAGTGCGATCCTAAACACAGTAACACCCTTCTAAATCCTTCAAAGTCAATGGGCTTATAAGAATGCAGCTTTGCTTAGGATCACCCTGCAAAAGCACTCTTTGAGTAGACCCCCCAGTGGAAAATCAGAAAGCCAAAGTGGGCTAAGGATTATCTGAACAAGCCCTGGCCTCAGCAACAACTACATAAAGAAAGATTAGGAGAGGTGATGGAAGCCACAAGAGTTAAGATGGATTATGCCTGCCTCTCATCTATAGCCACAGTACATATGCAAAGCCATAGTCCAAGGCTCCACCGGAACTATGCTGGCTTGTTAAAAAAGGGAAACAAACAAATAAAAAACCAAACTGGCAGTTCTGAGTCAGGATTCCTTTTAGTACCCCACTGTCAGGGCACTTACTGATTGTGCCAGGATCGCAAACACATGGCATCAATTTAAGAACACTGAAAGAGCACGACTATTAAATGGCTTTATGCAAAATCATGAATGAGAAAACTCCAGCAGTGTATAAAAGCCCTTTTCTTTATCCTGTTACTATATACCAATGACACAAGAACTTACGGGAATGTCAGTTCTCTTCAATTCAGAGAGATTGACTTCTGAAAGTGACCTGACTGAGGCAGGCCAAGTACTGAGGACACAGGGTGGGGTGGGGGGCACATTAACTTTCCTCATTGCTGCTCAACAGCAGGAGATACAAAGCTCCAGACACCCTCAGGAGGTTAATACCGAGCTAATCAGTATATTCCCGGGGGGGGGGGGGGGGGGAGGTGCAAGCAAAGATTGTCCCAGCATTGGCTCAGTTTAAGATGCATGACTAAAGGTGGTGACACTGGTCACTGTGTGAAGCAAAGCGTTTGCCAGCTGCCCATGAAGAGAAGAGTGAGGCAGTTTAGAGCTGGGAGAAGGTCAGGTTCAGCACTGTGCAAAAATTGGCTCATAGTTCTCAAAGTGAAAGCTACCGCAGAGTGTACCAGGGATCCTCCAGAAACCTGCTGCTGGGCTGAGCCAGCTTTACTCCACAAGAGAAACTATCTGGAGTGTAAAAAAGCAGCCCACAGAATGGGAGGGCCCCAACAACGCCTCCACACTCACTGCAAGACTCCTGTCAAAGACAATGTGATAACTTCCAAGTATTATGGGGTTTTTTTTTAAGAGAATTTAAAAAGTTGTACAGGATGAGATGGTCGACCATCTGTGCTCTGAAAACACCCCCGTTTATCATCTTAATTTGTATAATTTCTGAAATGGCTATCAGTAGCTAAATAATGAAGCCCAAAAACTATTAGAGACCGATGACCACTTCCTAAGAATTACAGTAACACAGCAAAACCTGTATTCTGTTAGCAAGAAAACTTGGGTTTCGTCAGCCATGCACCCTACACATAAAAGCTTTAAGTGATTTTAACTGATAACTTTTTGCGCCCAGAGAATTCTGGTGACTGAAATTTTGCAAGAACAGAGCTATTACTGTCCATGTGCCCTCTGGAAACCAAGTAAAATGATACTGTAAAATACTGAAAGATTCTGGCAAGTGTATCTTGCTGAACCCTCTGCGGTCTGAAGCCCAGAAATCTCTGTGATCTTTTTAGAATGACTACTCCCTTCACAACACAGAGCAAGAAATTACATCGAGCATCCCTTTCCTCAAGCCCAGGACTCTCCTGACACTACTCTGCAGCAGCTGTAACCTAGATAGCTTGGACAAGTCAGATACATTCAGAAGCATAATGGCAATCCATTCCACAGAAAGGGACAGGACATAACTGGGACATCTGGTAGCAGAGATGTTTTTAAAAATTGCACCTGAAGGTATTGTTTACAATACCAGCTGTCAAGTTCTTAGGCTCAGAGGAAGCCATAGATTCATTTTCTAACTTAACCAACACGAGTAATAGAACAGTTAACTCCACAGGGTTCTGCAGGACGGTTACCCTTTGGAAGGCGACAGACAAAAGTGGAGGGGACATTGGCCGGAAGCCAGGCTTCCCTTGTGAATTCTACCGAGGAAGTGGCGAGGCACCAAGTCTTCAGAAAGCTTCTCCACAGACAGAGGTGCTCCCCTATGGCACATTATTTGGCAACGCTCTGTGGGGCCTCCTCCTCTACTCACTCAGGGCATGATGGGCACTCAGTCCATCCCTCTGTCACCTTCTCAAAAAGGCTGGCAAAGTCTTTTGTTACTTGGGGCAACCATTCTTCTTCCACTGCTGCAGCCTCACAACCTGTTGGGGGGGGCGTGTCAACATTCTAGTCAAGGGAGAAGGATACCGGAGAAACCAGAGAAAGGGCAGGTTTCCTCCGATTCCACTTTCCCATTCAGTTGCAACACACTCTCTTCCAGCAGGCATGTAAATACGAACCCCAACCAGCTTCACAGTGGTAGCAGCACTGGACAACCACTCGGTGACTACCAGATCACAGAAAAGCTACCTACCCAGGCTTATGGTGAACAAGGGAGGCAATACTGGAAAGGAAGGTCTTGTTCTTTTCCCATTACAACCACAAAAAGGGTGAGGGAGAAAAGCTTTTGAACCCAATTCTAGAGAAGGGGAACAAGACAGAGAGGTGGTCACATTCTGACAGCCCTCAGGCACTACATGAGTCAGTAGATATTTATATTTAATAAGTATACAAAATATGATTGAAATAAAACCCAGCAAAATTTACAGTTTGGGGGGGGGAGGGGCGGGGAAGAAATCACAGTACAGCAGTATTCCTGGTGCAGCCGCCTCCCGGTCGTGCCCTCTGCCATGTTTACAAAAGCACTGTAGAAGTGTGTTCTGGAGGAAGCCAGTGCTCTGCTCCACATTTCTCTCAGCAGAGCCTCAGAGACCTCCCTCGGGCATTTCTAAACACGGTGCTATAATCCAGCAGCTTTGCAGAAACTTCCCCCCAACTGCCAAGCTGTGGCCGGCTGCCCCAGGACTGCAGACACGTGTCACTACATCCTCGCCAAGCTCAAGAGCTGGGAAGGTGGTCTGACCATCCCCATGTTGTGACCACACGGCTCCACTGTAGCTGATTCAGGGCACACTGTGAGAGCCGGGCAAAGGCTGGATTCTGATAACGGGGGACAGATTAACCCTCAGAATCTTCTGTGCCCTCCTCCTCAGTTCATCGTCTGAACAGCTGTCCACCTTGATGGCCCGGAATTTCAGCAGGTCAGGTGTGTTCGAAGCCAGTTCTGGTTTACTGGAGGATGGAATGGAACCGGGTTTCTTTCTGTGTGGCAACTCTTTCCTGTCCTCAGCTTTTTTCCTTTTCTGCCCAGCAGTCTCCTGTGGACCGCCACCTGCTCTCCGTTCCGTTTTGCCCACTGATGGCTCTTTAGTTCTGGAGGCCCCTGCACTGGAGCTCTGGGAGGTGCTTCCGGAAATCCTGCCATTCAGGATTCCAGAGGCTTTACAAGCATTGCTTTCCCGCAGTACCCCACCCTTTGGCCCTTTCAAAAGGGCGACAGTCAGGGCGGTGGAATCTGGCATTTTCTTTATTATGTGCCTATACCCTTTGGGGTCCAGCTGGCCTGGTGGTGTTTTCGTGGCCTTGACTGCTGGAGGTTGTCTGGATGCATTAGCTGCCTTAAGAAGCTTAAGGTCTGAGGGAGAGATCCCAAGATGCCCTTGCTTGCATCTGGACTCCAGGCAAGATGCTGTGGCTTTCAGTGGGACCAAGGCTTCCAGCACCACAGAGAGCCTCATGGCTGGATAGACACCAGGGTACATGTTAGCAGGGAAGCCCACTGCTGAGGCTTCTGATGTGTGCGAGCGTGTCCGTTTCAATGAATTCAACAGGAGATTTGTGGAACTGCTGTTCTTGGACAATGGTGGAGAATTCTTAGGAGAACTTACTGTAATACCTGCTAGGGGGGCAGATAGTTTTGCCATTGTTACTGTGCTTCGGGCGGGAGCCTTAACAGAGTCCAAAAGAGGGGCGGCTATTTTTGAGCAGCCTTGGGGGCTGCCTTTCATCTGGTTGGGTGTGCTGGCTGTGCATGAGCTGTACCCATACACATCTTTGCTCCTTAGAATTGTGGGCTGGTAGCCTTCCTCCTTCAGACCCTGAAGAAAGGCTACCAGCTGGGTCTCTGTGTCAGAAAGGTCCTTGGACATGGGGTTGAATACTCGGAGAGCTTCTTCCAATGCTTTCTGTCCTGCAGAGGAGATCCTTGACCAGGAATGGACGGCTTTTTCTTCCACATTGTCCGCTGCAACATTCATGGCATTAGGCTACGGGAACTTCTAATAGGTCCAAACCACTTGGAAGCCAGGGCAGATGACCTCAAATTAAAAAGGAAAAAAAGCAGTTACTTTATGCAGTGAAAAACAGCCTACGTTTCCTACTGCAGGCTCTTATAGTCACAAGACACTTCCGGTATTTATAGAATACAAGCCTAAAATCATACCTGGTCAGTTCTAGCGCAACTTCAATAACCAAATTTGAATGCAGAAGCCACACAAGTAGTTTTATCTTAAAACTCAGCTTTAAATAAATTGAACAAGCAATAGTAGGTATAACCATATCTTCCAGCAAGTTATATGCACCCTCTCTCATGGTATCTGGGCAGATTCACAAGTTATTTTGCTTTATTTTTAAAAAGATCATTCCAAATTATGTTTCTCTGGGCAAGGTGTGTTGACATGTTAGTTTTCAGTGAATCACAGAAAAACATGTTTAGGTCACTCTGTGTCAAAGTATTAATGGCCCTACCAATCTCCTGAAGAATCAAATTCCTCCTCCTCATAATACACATAGAAAATTGCTGAGTAATATATTCACAGTGTTCCCAGATCAGGGTTGGTATTCCAGTTAGCAGACTTCATAACAATAATACTGGACCACAGTCTAACATTCCATGAAGTCAAGCATGTCCTTCTGCAAGAAGCACACTCTTATCAACTGGCATCATGGCATCATCAAACAAAAAAACCCCTGAGAGCAATGACTCCTTGTGCTCCAGCAACAATGTGCTATATGACAGAGTGTTTGTATATGTTGGGAAAACCCCCACAGAGGAATCTATAAACTCATACTGCAGAACATAAAAGTAACACCTGCCTTACACAAGCAGGTGCTCCTCTAGTTATCATTTTATAGAGCAATAATCATTGTCTCCCAGACCTGTCATTGTGGGCCATTCAGGAACTAGCTAGCATTAATGATAACTTGCTACTTAGAAAAAGAGACTGGATTTCTGAGATCGGGTACTTTTGTTCCTCGTGGGTTAAATGAGGACTTAGATCTCTTGCATATCTCTTGTACATGAAGGACTTGCTCCATTCTGTCTTCTTTCTTCCTATGAGCTCAGCAGCGGTGGGAAAGCACTGTAGATAAACACTTAGAGTTTAGTTCTTACATATACTTTCAAACTTGTTGGCTCATACATCATTATGTGATTTTACACTTGGGACATATGATTTTATCTGTATGTGTGTGTGTGTTGGTGGACAAAGCTCTATACTGGTTTGCTACAGTATACATATTTTGTTCTCTGCATTATGATAATATTTGTAGTGACTGGGATTTTTCAAAATACGTAATAGTCTCACTCATGCTCGTTCACTCGGGTATCTTTTGTGTATTTTTAAATATCCTATATTTTGACTGTTTTTCATGAAAATTTATTTCCTTTTATAACATGTTTCAGGTCTCTTGAAGCTACCATAAAATATGTCTGTTTAGGATGCTATCAATAAATTTCACTTTGACACTGTGCTATCAAGCATTTGTCTTTGCTGTCTTTCATTTCAGTGACTGGTACAGCCCTCCTGTTTTAACTGTTCTTTATTAATACTCAAGCCAATGTTGCTGGTAAGTATTCTAGGGATTATTCTTTTTTGTATTGGTGCAATGATTATTCCCAGTGACAACTGGCTCCTGGGTTCGTGTCTTTGTTTGGTGGTCCCATATGCACTTAGCCAATACCATTACAGAACCTAACATCAGCTACACTGTCTTAGGGTCCTCCATCAATCACTTCCAAATGGTGGACTGGAACGTCAAAACCTTCTATTTGCCCATCTGGGATTTTACTCATTTTTTTTCTGTAGCACTGGTGATTTTCCCCGACTTATCCCATCACCTAAGCATTTATGCCTCATCTATTTTTCCCCTCTGAACTTCTTATACTGTTGGTGGTCCCACATGTCATCCTTGATCAAACTGCGCATGTCCTCCTGCAAAGCTCTTTAAACATCAATGCTTCTGGACTTAGCTGACAGGCGTATTGCTGGGCTGTCAATTATTGCCACTCCTCTTGGCTGTATCACAATCAGTTTTTCTCCTGCAGCACTGGCTTTCTCGCTGAATTTATGTATAGCTTTCATGATTGCCACATTGCCATGCACTCACAGACAATTCACTTGCAGAGCAAGGACTGCTGCCTATGATCAGTAAATCAGCTTCATTTCTCTCTTGCTTGGACCTGCCTCATGATGGATGCCAATTCTGTTATCAATGGGGAAAGTGGCAGGAGTGATAACTAATCCAAAGACATGCAGTTAACATGGCGTTGAACAAAGTTAGCACTGAGGTCTGTTGCAGGGTTTGGTTCCTAGGCTTGTGTCTCTGTTTGGTGGTCCATTGTTGATTCTAAGAGATGCAACCTCAGGAGCCATATCTATGTGCCAACTTTGTCCCCATATGCACTTAGCCAATACCGTTACAGAACCTAACATCAGCGAACTTCCGCCCACGGCGACGCGAATGGCGGTCGCTCTCTCGGGAGCTCCCGGAGGCGATCAGCCCACACACGGTCTGGGGGGGGGGGAATCCGCACAAGCGGAGACCCTAAGGAGCCTTAGTTAAAGGCTCCGAACCAGGGGGCGCACCGGGGAGTAGCCTCTTTACCGACCAGAAGGTCGGAAAATTGAGGCTTTCCCCAAGCCCCGATGGCCCTGCTGCGCTGTGTCCCAAATGGGGACTTAGCAACGCCACCGGACCATCGGAGTGGTAAAGCGATGAAATGTTAACGAGAGAAGACGTCCAGCTACAAACTGTGAATTGACAATCAAGAAAGAAAAAGTTTTAAGTGCACCCCCCCCCCCGTTTGAATAAGCACTTGGGCGGAGGGCGGATCACTCCCCCCCCCCACAGAAAGAGACTGATTTATATAAGAGAAGAGTGGGAGGGGGAGAAATTGAAAAACAAAATTTACCTTTTGGGAGATTTGTAAAAGCGAACTGAAGGGATTGTTTCCCAAGCTGTGCGGCACGAACTTTTGAAAAGTAAACAAAAAACAAAGATGTTGGGGCAAAAGCGAGTCTCAGACAAGCAGATGAAGAAGGCATCAGGCACTTCCGGTTCTAGTGCCCGCCCTGAAGAGCAGGTTGTCACTCAAAAAGAAAGCGAGATTCTTCGCCCTCTGCTGGACCAAATGCAGAAAATTAACCAAACGTTGCTAAGCATGGGAAGTGCCCTTAGTAACTAGCAGAAACAATTGACTGATACAGCCAAGAAGATAGAGGAAATTGCACAGAAGTGTCTGGTATCAACGGAAGATACACAAAAAATCAAGAAGAAGGTCAGCAAAATAGAAAAAACATCAAGAAAGACAAGATAATAAATTATTGATGTTACAAATGGAAAAATCCACTCTTCGATTTCAAGGCATAAAAGAGGTGGAAAAAGAAGATCTCAGGAGTATACTGGCGAGTGCTTTGGCACCACTGACCAGCAGGGAAGCGGATAAACTAAGCAAAGAGATGGATTTGGCTCACAGAGCCTACTCCAACTTTACAAAGAAGAATAACCTGCCAGCAGAAGTGGTAGTCAAGTTTACTAAGCAGCGTACCAGAGATCAAATTTTTCAAATTTGAAGAGAAAAGAGAGAAGATTGACTCCATTTTCAAAGCTCAAGACTTTTTGAAGAGGCATGCCAGTTCAGAGGAAGAGGCAGAACTCGCAAAATGGGAAGTACTGAGCGGAGAAGAAGACAGCAGCTCGGAGAGGAGGACATGAAACCGGAAGAAGAAGGAGCAGCTAAAGGCCCATCTTATAACCTGAGGGATGTAAAAGGAAGAAACCCCAAGACTTGAAGATTTGTTCGGAGAGCGCATTAAAGGACTTTACTAACCCAAAGGGACACTATTAACATTACTAAAAATATTGTTTTTTTACAGGTTAAGATGAAAGCTGATCAGTCAAAAACCGAAGAAACTGAAGAACTTATTGTTACTAATAAAAGATTAATTTACTAACAAAGATACCACTCACCACTTTTCTTAATCCCGCTATATACCCTCCCCTTTTTCTGAAAAATTTAAAGCAATAAAATTCTCTCCTCTTTAGGAGAGTTAACTACAAAAAAAAAAAGAAAAAGAAAAAAAGAACTTAACATCAGCTACGCTGTCTCTCCCAATCACTTCCAAATGGTGCACTAGAATGTCAAAAAGAGAAAAAAGGAGAAAGTTTGGCAGTTTAACTGCTGGCCAACTGACAGAGTTGAGGGTATACATTACAATGCTCCCTCTAAGCTGTGGAGTCTTGTGAGGAAAAACTCTACATTGTGAGCAACTGGCATTAAAGTTGTGAGCAAGCAGTTTGGCTGCTGCATAAATCAGTTTGCTCTTGAGCCATCCTTCCTGAGCTAAGACAAAAAATGTGTGAGCCGGAGGTTAAAAAACTGTGAGCTAGCTCACACTAACTTAGTTTAGAGGGAACACTGCATTATGTGTGTGTGTGTGTGTGTGTGTGTCTTTGTGTGTACGCACACACAATATATTAGGGTATAGGGTATATATATGCAATATACTAAAGTAGAATTCTCTGACGTAACACCTCTAAGAAAAGGATGCTGTTAGTTAACCCAAAGTCTCAGCTTATTACTCTTTACAATTAAGAATATAATTACGTATTAATGTACTTTGGAATGGTAGATTTAAATGTATTTCTGTGGTCTAGGGACAAGGGAAATAACCCTACACAGCCAATCACGCCACTTCAAACAAAAAGATGCTGTGAGAGGAGAGGGATGGAACCTAAGGACAGATTCTCACCATTAAGGATACATCAGTCTCCAATTCTGACATTTATTTCCTTGCTATGTTTCCCCCCATAAGTTGAGCCCAAACAGATGACAGCCATATAACTAAGCTTGTTATTCTTTTAATCTGTTAAAACACCTTCATTGGTCTGTATGCTAAGTTATTGCCCACCCTCAATATGTATGGCTGTTGTTTCTATTTCCATTTCATAAGAACATAAGAGACGCCAATGTTGGATCAGGCCAAAGGCCCATCCAGTCCAACACTCTGTGTCACACAGTGGCCAGAAATACCAG